CCGCCGCCGCCCGGTGCCCTGGGCCGCCGCAGGCCTCTTCGCGTGGCCCGGCGGGCAGCAGGCGCCGGAGCCGCCGCGTCCTCCCTCCTCTCCTCTCCTCTCCTCCCGCTCCGGCCCGGGGGCGGGGGGGCCTGGGCGGCCATCGGCCTCCTCCGCCCGCCCGGGAAGGCTGGGAGCCCTCCCGAGAGGCCGCCGCGCGGGGTGGCCGGTGGCTGGCGGTGGCGCTCCGGAGAGACCCCTGGAGGGTCTCCCCTCCCTTGACCTTGCGGGGGCCGCGCGCCTGAGCGGAGGAAGGGCCTGCCCGGCGGAGGGAGGAGGAGGGGAAGGCGCTGCAGGTGGCGGGGCGGCCACGGGGACCGGCCCTCTCTCCAGCCTCGCCCTCCCGGGCCGCACACGCTGCAGGCTGGTCCCCCCTCGCCCGCCGCCGAGTGAGTGAGGCGCCGCACGCACGGGGCAGCTCCTCCTGGCGCTCTGGCGCGGAGGCCACTCTCCGCCGCACCCCCTTCCCTCTTCCTCGCAGGCGGCTTTCTGGGCCCTGGCCACTGGCGATCCTGTCCAGAAGAAACCGGTGAGACCTCCCCAGCAGCCTCCAAAGCCACTAAATCCTTCTGGGCCACATTTCTGGGTTGTGGCTGGGCGGGCGGAGTGCCATTGTTGTGATGGTTCTCATTCTTACTGGCAGAAAGCTCCCAGGGAGCCTCCCCCTGCAGTTTCTGCCAGGGAGTCTGTCTCCCGCCCGGTTAGATCACTGGCATGAAACCGGGGGGGGGAATTTTTATATTTGTATATGCGGGATGAAGGGTGTGCGCCCAGCCCCCTGCTGCTGGGACCCAGCTGTCTCTTGGTTTCGTGGACTCCGGCGGAGAAGCCCTTAGAGCCCCAGAATAGGTGCCCGGGATCAGTCCCTGGCCAGACGAGGGTGAATGAACTGGAGCGGAGTCCAAAGAGAGAAAAGGGGGGGGGGCACAGAACCCAGGTGGGGAAACCAAGATCTGTGCAGGAGGATATCTGCGCACTCTCCTGGGAAGATCTGGTTGGAGGTCTCCTGGACTCCTCCATGGCCCATGGGGGCTCAGGGGGCCTCCCCCCCCCCCCGTGCATGTAGCTACCACAGCAGCTGAGATGTCTGCTAGAACAGAGAGTCTCGGGCCCCTGCTCAAGTCCCAGTGTGACTTCTACATGTGGAGCTGCCCTTGAAGACTATACGGGAATGTCGACTAATTTTGAAGGTTGCTGTTCGGCTACTGATGAGAACGAGCAGGAGGGAGCATGTTTCACCTCTCAGAACACTGGTTGTGGGTGTGTTTCCCAGTTCAAGTGGCTGGTTTTGACCAAGGGAGCCAAACAGTTTCCATCCGGAGTATTGTTGAGGAGCATCTGAATCCTCCCACGTGTTGAGGTGGGTGAGTGAGGAGGCCCCGCTGCTTTAAGGTGCCGCCGCCGCTTGTGGGCGCAGAGCAGGGCCTTGTCAGCAACTTCCCCTTGGGGGAACGTCTCTCCCAGAGTTCTCCTTGGTTTCAATGTTTGCCTTCTTTAGGAGGCAAGTGAAAAACATGCTCTGTTTACCTGAAAGAAAGAAAGACTAGTTTTCCCCCCTGGAGTGCCACTAGGAAGAATAGCGACGTGTCTTAAATTTCCCTATAGGTTACAAGTATGTATGGTAATACTAGTGTGTGCGTGTGTAACCCTTTTTCAGGGCTCATTTTACATTCAGCATCATCTTCCTTTTGTGTAAGTACAGTCCCTGTTCTCACACCTGTTTTGATAGTCCTTTGGAACTGTGAGTTGGCTAATTGAACTGGATACCTATTATGTTGCTGGTTTGGGAATATGTTTATTAGTTGTTCATTTTTTAAATATTTTATTTTTGTGAACTGCTTTGGAAGCTTGTAGCTGTAGCTGTAATATGTCAATTACTAACTACCTTGGAATAATAGTTCTGTAGCTAAGTTTACCAGTGGTGTTAAATTTGTTCCTAAATGATTTGGGATTGGGAGTGAGTAATGTAGTGGCCAGGTTTGCGGTTGATACCATAACCAAACTATTAAGAGTGATGAAAACCAAAGTGTAAACTGGGAGAGTGGGTAACTTTAAATATGTGCAGATGGAGTCTCAACTGGTTAAGACTGAGTGAAAGAGATCTCAAGGTTCTTGTAGGTAATATGAAGAAAATGTTGACTCAGTGCGTGGCAGTAGTGAACAATATACTCTGTATTGGGCATTCTTAGAAAACAAATTTATTTATTTCTCAAATTTATAGAAAATAAAGTGGCCAATAAAAAAAAATAAAGTGTCTATGACTTGCTGGAAGAGAGTCTGCTTTGCATGCAGGAGATCCCAGTTCAGTCCCCAGCATTTCCAGTTAAAAAGGACCAGGCAGGAAAGACCTCTACCTGAGGGGCTGGAGAGCTGCTACCAGTCTGAGTAGATGAGGCTATCCTTGATGGGCAGGTGGTCAGAGTCATCATAAGGCAGCTGCATGTGTTCATGTGTTTTGCATATATGTTTCCTAATGATTGCAAAAGATTTTACACTACAGGTATTTTTTTATTCTACTGGTATGACTTGAAGAAGCTGAGTCTCTCATGTAATGGTAGTTTTCAGTTCTGGTCACAGTATCTCAAAAAGGATGTTACCGAACTGGAGAGCATCCAGGATGGTTCAGGGTTTGGAGCACCTTTCCTACGATGAAAAGCGAAGAGTTTAGGAGTTTTTAGTTTAGAAAAAAGTAACTGAAGGGGGAAGTGATAGAAGTTTATAAAATTATTCATGGTATGCAGAAAGCAGACAAAGATAACCTTTTCTCCCTCTCCCAGAATGCTAGCACTTGGTGTTATGTAGGTTTTTCAGAAAAATGTGAATCAGAAAATTTTCCGAGTTGTTGAAATAAATAACTTAATTATTTAAATCATGCTAGCAAAAAATGTAAATAACATTTGGAAAAGAAGGCAAGTGCACCCCACACAAGCCTGGATGATGTCCAAGCACTGGGGTTTTGTCCATCCTTCATATCGCACCTGTAGCCCATCTAGAGTAATTGTTCTGTAGCATAAACAGACTAGATTTATATATAGAAGAACATAGCTTTGGAAAAATGTCTGCACTGGACAGCATTCAATGAAGTTGATGGGCGAAAGATTCAAGGCTGGCAAAAAGAAATGCTAGAGCAGGGGTGTCGAACTCATTTGTTACCAGGGCTGGATCTGACATAAATGTCTCTTTGTCGGGCCAGGCCATGTGTGCCATAAAACGTAATGCCAGGTACCAGAGATATATAAACTGTATAAAGGACAGCAGCTGGTAAGCTCTGAGTTGTTGTATTCTCACTGCAAGTCCCCAGGGGCTGGGAGGGAGGTGCAAAGGAAAACCCATGTGGGCGGACTGGAGAGCCAGCGGTGCAGCACTGGGCAGATGAGATTGTTCTGCCATGCTGAAGCCACAATCAGTGGCCCCGCCCACTCTCCCCAAGCACTCTCCTGTTCCCTCCCTTGCACTAGTTGCCCACGGCCCGCATAAGAGCCCTGGACGGGCCAGTTTCGGCCCCCGGGGCCTTATGTTTGACACCCCTGTGCTAGAGAGCCTGTGACTTAAGGGGGTTAGACAGAGTCATGGAGCAGAGGTCCATCAGCGAGTATTAGCCATAGTTAGTGCAGAGGACCACATTCAGAGGCAGTATACTTTTGAGACCCAGAGCCTGGAGGCAGCATCAGGAAAGGCCTTGGGTTCTGCACCCTGTTCGTTGGTCCTCCATCCAGGGCAGCTGATTGGTTGTTGTGTGAAACAGGATGCTGGACTAGATGGACCCTCACTGGTTTGATTCAGCAGGGTGGTTCTTAATGGAAACTCTGTATTCAGAGATAGCAAACCTCTGAATGCCAGTGACCAGGAAATGGCCTTGGCACTGTGTGCCCAATTCACGGGCCCTTCAAGGTGTCTGGTTGGTAGCTGTTGAAATAAGTTGCTGGACTTGATGGACAGCTAATCTGATCCCGCGGTGCTCTTCTTGTGTTCTTACATTGGAGAGAGTCAACATGGTGTAGAGATCAGATTGTCAGACTAGGATATGGGGGACCCAGATTTGAATTCCCACTCTGCTGTGGAAGCTTCCTGAGTTGACCTTCGGCCAGTCACACTGTCTTAGCTCAGCCTACCTCACAGGGTCGTTGTGAAGATAAAATGGAGGAGAACTGTGTAAGATGCTTTGGTCCCCTGGAATATAGCATTTTAACACAGTGAGTTGCCAGGGCGCAAGGCTCTTTGTGCATGTGCGCGCGTGTGTGTGTTATGTGCTGTCAGGTTGCTTCTGACAAAAACATCCTATCATTAACAACCTTTCTTGGGTCTAGCACGCTGAAGGCCATGGCTTCTTTTATAGAATCAATCCCTCTCCTGTTGGGTCTTCCTCTTTTTCTGCTGCCTTCAACTTTTCCTGGCATCATTGCCTTTTGCAGTGATTCTTGTCTTCTCATGAGGTGACCAAGGTACAATAGGCTGAGTTTAATCGTTTTAGCGTCAAGGGAGAATTCAGGTTTGGTTTGATCTAGAACCTACTTGTGTTCTTGGTGGTCCAGGGTATCCGTAAAGAACTCCTCCAACACCATGTTTCAAATGCATCAATTTTCTTCACGTCTGCTTTCTTCATCCATCCATCCATCCATCCATCCATAGCAGCGGGGAGTACCCAGCTACCTTGGTCTCGGTCTCCAGCAACACATCCTTACACTTAAAGGCTCCTGAAAAGTGCTGGTTCTCATTTGAAATCTTGCGATCTGTCGGGCTGGATCCAGCCAACTTTTTTGTTCAATCTCACCCTATTTCCCTCCTTATTATAGGTTCTATCATACATAACTTCCGTCCATGCAGGTCCCATGATCTCCCAGCATAGTTTTTTCTTTACATTCAAAGGGGTCTCCTTCATCCTTTTTGCACTTTTGGGGAAACTGTTTGGATGCATCCCGTTATCTCAGACTAATGGGAAGGCAAGGCAGCATTTGTTGTAGCAGAGCCAGTTTGGTGTAGTGGTTAAGTGCGCGGACTCTAATCTGGGAGAACCGGGTTTGATTCCCCACTTCTCCACTTGCACCTGCTGATGTGACCTTGGGTCAGTCACAAGCTCTGGCACAGCTGTCCTTGAAAAAGAGCAGTCAGAGTTCTCTCAGCCCCGCCTACCTCACAGGGTGTCTGTTGTGGGGAGGTGAAGAGAGAGGAGTTTGTAAGCCGCTCTGAGACTCCAAGTGAAGGGCGGGGTATAAATCCAATCTCTTCTTCTTCTTCATTTATTGCAAATATTCCCTAATTGGAAGAGAAAGCAAATGCAGCTCCATTTCCAAAGCGTAAGATCGGTTGGCTGTGGAGAACAGTTGGCCTTTGTTAAAATACAAGAAGGCAAGAATTTGTATCACATTATATATATATATTCCTGTAATACTTGGCATTATGCATAACTATTCAGGATGAAGCATGATCCAGTTACTTGCAAAGGCAATTATTTTAGTCTTATCACAATATTTTAACAGTGGCAGATACCTGTGTAGTGTCACAAGCCAGATTATGACTTTAGAGGAGAGC